CACCATAGAAACCAATGTAAACATGTCAATTTTGACTATTTTCTATAACATTTTGATCACTTGTATTTTAAGAAATTGTCCGGTGACCCCATTGTTTCATGTTTGGTATCTTAGTGGCGTGAACCCATGATAATGAAAGTAGGATCTTGTATTGCTTCTTAAACCTTATTTGAAAAGCGTCATAAATAAAACAAAACAGGAAGTGAAATGGGCATATCATAGTGACGAGCAATTTATTCTACAATTTTATCTATTTATTTCGAGAATCACACGTATGCATTATCGACTTCAACACGATTTTTTTTTTTTGCTCAAAAGTACGAATTGTAAAATTGCGAACTCATTTTATTGATACATGTACTTTTATTGGTAAAGAATTGCATCGCAGTGGGATTAGTTTATCATAGCCATCAATATGTTGAAATGAGTTTAAACTGATCCGGCTTAGGCTGATCCTACTCGCACATGTATTGCAATCAGACAACCAGTTAATAAGCATACTGACATGGGCTTCTCTAGCTTCCCTTGTGCTATACTGCACTGGATGTAGATAGAAGAACACTTAAAACAATGTTTATAATTTGATTTATCTGATTTTATAATACTAGTATTTAAATATATATTGCAAATTGATGTTTGTGTCACAGTTACATGAATGTCAAATGTATGTCAAACATTTGGATCTGCTGAAATGAAACAATAACACATTTTTGAGTACCGTTAGCTTTCAATTTCCCCAAAATATTATTTTAATGGTGAATGCGTTATTGTCTTGACTTTCGCATTGTACGTGTGACTCGACTATTTTGATCACAATTCATGCCAAAGAGGGTATTTAAAAAATATATACCAGAATAAATGTTAGTACAACAAGATCTTGTATTACTATTGCGAGATGTCGGATTGTTATCGCGATATTGTATATTATCATGATGGGGGAGTTTAAAATTTCCAAATGTTTTAGCGTAATTCATAGTTAAAACAAATTCTTTCCATGAATGATAGGTTTGTTCGAGTTTTTCTTTGGTTAACACAAAGGTTGAATATTTTTTGGAAAGAGAGTTCAGCAAAGTTGAAAATATGTCTTTGTGGAAACTTTCATGTGGCATCTAGAACGTGTACTCGTGACTATGGAAACACTGTGCACTTTTTAAGAGAAGAAATTAATGAATAAAACTCTCGATTAAATCCTAGGATTGACTTACGATTCGGATTAACATTAACTACTGAGATGACGTTTGCCTGATAGTAAACAAAATCGAATGACTTTAAATGTCATTACGGATATATGGAATGAGTAAACGCAGAACAGAGTACAGAAATGACATCTACAGCGTGCATCCCGCATTTCACATTTACAGTATTACAGTCTCAAAATTCTCTAAGAGTACGCGTTATTTTCAATCGTATTAAATTCGAAGTCATTTTCTTTTTCTTTTATTTATTTATTTTTTGATGTGCCGCTCTTGATCAACTTTTTCTATCCTATCTATTGCCTGTAGGTCGTCATCGTCTATGAAGCTAAATCCCAAGGTAAGCTTTGGCAACACTGAGCATATTATTATTCAGTAGAAATCGATATTTGGAATAATAAAGACCGCGAAATTCTATGATAGAACGGGGTTTTGTTGAGTATAACCTAGCGTTGTAGTCAAAAGTGTATATGCTTAACATGTCTTATTGTATAAATATATGTGTCTGTTGTCGTGAGTGTTGTACATTCACGGGTTTCATCGTTGCGTTCAGTGAGTTACTGCAAGGACATTTAAATTTATTTATTTATGGTTTACCCCATTTGCGTTATTTCGCACTAAATTAACGACATCAAACTTTTTTTTAGGTTTTCATTTAATGCGGTTAGATTTGACTGGATTAGATTTCCATAGCAGAGCGTGATTACTTTTTCAGTTTTATCCCATTCTCTTCTCTCTGAACAAGCACTGGAGTTAACAATTCGATATTTCACTTGTGCTCACTGCGCATGTGTATCTATATTTATCCTATGGTTATTTGGATGCGTCCAATTTTTAAGGTCATGTGCATTGCATATTATCATAGAAGGTATAATTACCGGGGAGTGTTCTAATGCCTGTGCGATTCAGGTTGGAAATTGGAAAAGTACAATCTAACCAAATTCAATTAAAAAACAAGCTTGAAAACTAGATTACTGTGGCAACTACTGAATATTTCGCTACAGTAACCATGGCAACGCATTGTAACTATTTCAAAAGTGGCTCCATGAATTTAATGAAATGTCAATAAAAGTAACGCTTGTGTGAAATGAAATCGAAAAGGTACACGTGACCATTTGCCATATTTAGTATAACCCCCCCCCCCTCCCTTCCCAATCAACATCGCCACCACGCTAACAGCTGCTGGGACCAGAAATACTAGAAATATCCTCGCACATATGTCTCTGCGAAGCCTATCAAAGTTAGCTGGAGAGCTGTTTTT